TGTCCCTGTCCTTGTCCCGCTCCCCCCACACCATTGGGGTCCCTCAGTGTCCCCTCGTGACCTGCAGTGGTGGCACCTGGGGACAAAAGGGGCCCAACAGGCCCTGCCCCAGGGCTGGGGGACACCGGGGCTGTCCCCGTCCTGTCACTGTGACTGTCCCCGTCCTGTCACTGTGACTGTCCCCGTGCTGTCACTGTGACTGTCCCTGTCCTGTCACTGTGACTGCCCCCGTCCTGTCACCACTGTGACTGCCCCTGTCCTGTCACTGTGACTGCCCCTGTCCTGTCACTGTGACTGTCCCCATCCTGTCACTGTGACTGCCCCTGTTCTGTCACTGTGACTGTCCCTGTCCTGTCACTGTGACTGTCCCCGTCCTGTCACTGTGACTGTCCCCATCCTGTCACTGTGACTGCCCCTGTTCTGTCACTGTGACTGTCCCTGTCCTGTCACCGAGCCAAGCCCCCGGGGCTGCGCTGGGTCGGGCAGGTCGAGGGGAGCACGGCAGGACCTGTCCCCTCAGACCCCCCCCCGTTTAAGCCCCCTCCCTCGTTAGTCCCAGCAGCGTCCTTGTCCCCTCCAGTAACGCCCACCATCAGCACCCAAAGCCCCATCGGGACTCCCCCAGTAACACCCCCAATTAACCTCTCGTTTCCCACCATCGAGACCTCCCCCAATTAACCCCTCACTGTCCCCCCAATCGGGGACCCCTCCCCAGTGTCCCCAGTACCAGCATTAACCCCCACTGTCCCCCGGGACCCCTCCCCGGTGTCCCCAGTACCAGCATTAACCCCCACTGTCCCCCGGGACCCCTCCCCGGTGTCCCCAGTACCAGCATTAACCCCCACTGTCCCCCGGGACCCCTCCCCGGTGTCCCCAGGCGCCCCCCGGTGGTCGCGGCCGGGCGGTGCCACCCCCGGGCCCGAGGCTTTGCTGCCGCCTGGCGGGGGCGCCACGGCGGGACCCGGGCACCGGCTGGCACCGACAGTGTCACCGACTGACACCGAATGTCGCTGACAGTGTCACCGACTGTCACCGGCTGTCACCGAATGTCACCGACAGTGTCACCGACTGACACCGAATGTCACTGACAGTGTCACCGACTGTCACCGGCTGTCACCGAATGTCACCGACAGTGTCACCGACTGACACCAAATGTCACTGACAGTGTCACCAACTGTCACTGACTGTCACTGACCCAGGCACCGACTGTCATCAACAGTGTCACCAACAGTGTCCTGTCACCCGCCATAGTGGGACCTGGGCACCGACTGTCACCAGTCCTGCCCTGTCACCAACACTGTCACCGATCCTGTCCTGCCCCCAAGAGTGTCCCTAGCAGCATCCCCAGTCCTGTGTTGTCCCCAACAGTGTCCCCAAAGCTGCCCTGTCCTGTCCCAAATAGTGCCCCCATCCCTATCCTGTTCTGTCCCCAACCCTGTCCTGAACCGTGTCCTGTCCCTGGGGCACTCACATCAGGGTGCTGTCCTGTCCCATGTCCCCAAAAGTGTCCCCAACCCTGTCACTGTCCCTGCGCTCACCCTGCTGCTGTCCCCAAGCCTGTGCTGTCCCCATCCGTGTCGCTGTCCCCACCTCCCACTGGCCGCTCAGGGGACAGAGGAACCCTCAGCCTGGAATGGGGCAAACTGGGAGCACTGGGGCGAGGCGGGGGGGGCAGCGGGGCCAGCCTGGGGTGCCCCACCCCCGCTGCCACCCCCGATTGTCCCTCTGGGTCCCCCCACCCGGCAGGTCGCGGCCGCGGAGGAATCAGGGCGACGCCGGGCGACTCCCAGCAATTTTGGGTTGGGAACCGCAGAAATGCAGCGCGGCGCGAGCCAGGGCGGACCGGCCCGGGGACAGCGACGGGCGGGGGGACCGGGGGGGGTCACAGGGCTGGGGACAGCGCTGGGGGACACCCGGGGCAACCCGGGGGGCTCAGGGCTGGGGAGGGGTCGCTGGCAGCAGCCTGGGGGGGTCCCAGGATATTGGGGGAGGGGGTGTCCCAGGGGCGGGGGGAGTCCCTGGCAGCTTGGGGGGGACACGGGGCACGGTGGCAGCTTGGGGGGGGGTCCCCTCGGCAGCCTGGGGGGGTCCTTCAGCAGCCGGAGGGGGGGTCCGGCCCCGGTGCCGCCCCCGCTGCCGCCGCTCTGATGTGGCTGCGGCACCGCAGCGCAATGGGAGCCACATGGCGGGGGGACACGGGGGGAGCACGGGCCGGGGGCAGGCTCGGGGGGCCACCCCTGGCCCCCAGCGGTCACCTCTGTCCCCCCACGGCCACCCGTGTCCCCCCAGCGGCACCGCTGTCCCCCGGGGTGTGCCGGCTGTCCCAGGTCCGTCTGTCCCCGCCGGGGGTCCCTCCCGGCTCGGTGCCCCCCCGCGGCCCCCGCGGTTATTTCCAGGGATAATTCCGGGATAATTAAAGGGTGGGAGGAAACACCGGGGCCGTGGGCGCAGCTCAGCCCTGGGGCCACCCTGCTCTGGCTTCCCCGTGGGTGGGAAGCCCCCAGCCCCATTCCGGTGCCTCTGTCCCTGCAGGTCCCTGCTTCCATTCCCCCCCCCCATGGCCCCACACGTCCCCCCCTGTTCCCCCTGCTTTCCGGGGGGGGATCTCTGGGACGCCGGGGGGGCTCCGAACACCGGGGTGCCCCCGTGGGTGGTGCTGGGGGGGAGCTCAGCCCTGTTCCGGGCCCTCGGAGCCCCCCCGGTCCCGCGGGGCCCGTGGGCGGCCGTGGCCGGCGCACCCAGCGCGGGGGCTGCGCTATTTCGGGGCCTCCGACCGCAAGGGAAACATCCGGGGGCCGGAGAGGGCGGGCGGGGCAGGGCCGGGCCGGGGGGACACGGGGGGACACCGCGCCAGGTGAGGGCTGGGGGACGCGGGGGTCACCCGCGCCGGTGCCACTTCCTCCCCCCGAGCCCGAGGGGCTGCGGTGCCCCCGGGGGGACAACACTGCCGGGACCCCCGCGCTGGGCAGGGGGCGTTCCCTGGCCCTGGGGACCGGGATGGGGACAGGGTCATCTCCGACCATGCAGCCTCTGTAGTACTGAGACCCCCGGACTCATCTCAGGGGGCTGCGACCCCCCAAACTCGTGTCATGCTGGGGCTGAGATCCCCCCCAAATTTGGGACAGAGGGGCTGAGCCCCCTCAAATTCGTGTCAGCTCCTGAGCCAGGCTGATAATGGGTGAATGAGGAAGAGGAGGGAGGCAGAGATGGGAAGCAGGGATGGAGAGGAGGACGGAGGAGGGATGGACACACGGACGGTGGCTGGCCGGCTGCCCGGGGACGGAGCCCCCCCGCCCCGTGTCCCCCCCGCGCTGGCGAGGTCCCGGCGTCCGGCCGGGTATAAATACCGGCTAATTGCGGGGGCCCGGCGCGGCCGCGGGGCCGTGGGCGGCCGAGCCCGGCGCCGCCCTGTAATCAGCCCCCGCCGCCGCCCCCCCGCGCGGCCGCCGCGCTTTGAAGGGTCCCGGGGCACACGGGGGGGGTCCCCACGGCCCCCGAGCCGCGGAGAGACCCCCGCCCCAAGTGACACCCCCAGCCCAGCCCGGCCGTTCGGGCAGCGCCGGACCCCCGGTGAGCCGGACCCTCGTGGGCGATGCTGGGGGGAGTGAAACCCCCCAAAAAATCCATGGGGTGCCCCCCCCCCGTCCCACGCCGGGCTGGCTGAGGAGGAGGAGGAGGAGGAGGGCTGGAGTGGCCGTCCCAGTTTGCTCCCAGTTTGTGGGCAGTGGAAGCCCCAGCGAGGGGGGGCCGGTGGTTGTGGCCTTCGGCGGCGCCGGCGGCTGCGGAGCGGAAAGCCCTGACTCAGGGCTGGGAAAGGGCCCCGCTGGCCCGGCGGGGGGAAACGGGCCACGGGGAAAGCGAAAAGAAACCGGGAAGGATGGGGGAGTATTAAAATAAAAAAGGGAGGGGGCGTAAAAGAGCGGTTGGAACAATTCCTTCATGGGGGAAACTGAGGCGCAGGGGGGTCCCCATCGCCAGAGCCATGCATGTCCCTGTTCCCCTGCACATGTCCCTGTCCCCAGCCCTGTTCCTTCAGAGCCCAGCTCTGTCCCCACTCCCTGACCCCCATCCCCGCTCCATTCCCAACTCCTGTCCCCATCCCCGCGCCTCTGACCCCATTCCTGGTACCTGAAGCTCCAGCCCATGTCCTTCTCATCCCCATCGCTTGTCCCCTCCTGTCCCCATCCCAGCCCCTCATCCCCATCCCTGCTCCATCCTGGCACCTTCTGGGGTCACGAGCCTCTGGGTGTCCCAGCTGTCCCGTCCTCTGTCCCTTTGTCGCCCTTCCCCTCCCTATCCATCTATTCCTTCATTCCTTCTCTCCTCTCCAGCACTTTTCCTCTTCATCCACTTCCCTTCCCAGCCCCTTCCTCCTCCTTTTCCTGCTGTCCATCCCTTTCTCCTCCTCTCCCTCCTTTCCATTCCCCTTTTCCTCTTCTTATTTCACTCTTATTTCTTCTCCTTTCCTTTTCCCTCCTTTCCCTTCCCTCCCTCTCCCCACTCTTCTCTTTCCTTTTCCCCACACTGGTTCCTGTCCCCTATCTCCCCTCCTTCTTCCAGCTCTCAGCCTCCTCATCTTCCTCCATTCACAACTTTTTTTTTTAAATTTTTCTTCCATTTCCTTATAGAATTTTTCTTTTCTCTTCCCTTCCTTTTTCATTTCCCTTTTAACTTTTCCCTTCCTTTTTCATTTCCCCTTTCCTCCCTTTTCCTTTCCTCCTCATCTCTTTTCTTTCCCTCCTTTTCTCTCTTATTTCCCTCTTCCAATTCCTTGTTCTTTCCCCTCCTTTCTTCTCTCCCCCTTTTCTCCTTCTTTTCCCGTCTCTCATCTTTTCCTTCCTCCTTTCCTTTTCCTCTTCCCCTTCCCCTGCCCCCCTTCCCGCGGTCCCCCGGCCCCCCCGGCTGGGGGCGGTTCGGGGCCGGGCTCCCGCTCCCGGCCCCGGTCCCGGCCCGGCCCAGCCCCGCCGCAGCGGCACAGCGGGGCGGGCGGCGGCCACGGTGCTCCGTCCCTCCCTCTCCCTCCGTCCCTCCCTCCGCAGCGAGCCCCGGCATCCCGGGACACCGGCATCCCGGGACAGCGGCACACCGCGACAGCGCGACAGCGCGACAGGGCACCCTCGCGGGCAGGACCCACCCCCGGCATCCCCGGAGCCCGGTAAGGATCCCCGGGACCGGGACCCTTCGGGATGGGGGACACGGGACCGGGACCCCGCGTAGAGGAACACGGGGTGGGGGATCCCCCTGGAGGGACAGGGACCCTTTGGGATGGGGGATCCCCCTGGAGGGACAGGGACCCTTTGGGATGGGGGATCCCCCTCGAGGGACAGGGACCCTTTGGGATGGGGGATCCCCCTCGAGGATCAGGGACACTTTGGGATGGGGGATCCCCCTCGAGGGACAGGGACCCTTTGGGATGGGGGACCCCTGCTCTGGGGCAGGGACCCCAGGATTTGGGAGCCATGGGGTGGTGGACTCGCTCCAGGATGGGGGGAGCCCCCTGGGATATGGGACTCCGCCATGGACAGGGACTGTGTGGGCCCCGAGCATCCCCCTGTGGTCCCTGTGCCGGGGGACACGTGTGACCCTGCCCCAGCAGGGACTGCCCTGCCATGCCCAGAGGGGGAACAGGGACAGGGGCATGGTGCCGAGTGCCACTGTCACCCCAAACTGTCCCTCTGGCTGGGGACAGCACCACTGCACAGGAGCCAGGCCCAGGTGTCCTCGGGTTCAGGGGACATGGGGTGGCACTGACAGGGTGGGGGAAACTGAGGCAAGGGCTGTGGGGACACTTGGGGCCAGGGACCAGGGACGGGGTTTGGGGATTGGGACTGGGGACAAGGACTGAGTTTGGGGACCAAGGAACTGCGGACTTAGGGGACCAGGGACTGGGGGACAAGGGACGGGGAATGGGGAACCGGAACCGAGGATCGAGAACTGGACACTGGTGGTCAGTGACAACAGACCGGGAATTTGGGACCCAGAATTTGGGAGCGGAGACCCCCAGAGCAGGGGCTGGACCCCTCCCCACGCCGGGAGGGGACATGGGAGGGGTCAAGATCCCTGAGCCAGCGGGAGCCACAAAGGGACTGTCACCCCCGGCAGCAGCGAGCTCACGCCGTCCTCAGCCCGCAGCTCCCGGGGCTCCTTCCCTGCTCCTTAATTTCCCGGCGCAAGCGGAGCTGATTTATGGGAGTTTGACACTATTTTAAGCGTGCGCCTCCGTTTGCCGCTCGCCCTGGTTTTAATTACCTCGGCTCTCGCGGCAGGGCAGCGTTCCCGGGGCACAGGCCTGGCCCTTGTTATCCTTGGAAAACCGGGAGCGCGCTTGCGGCCACGGCCGGGCCGGCGTAAAAATAGGCGCAAAAACCACGGAAAAAAAAAAAAAAAAAAAAAAAAAAAAAAGAAAGGGGGGCTCGGGGGGGAACACCCTAAAAAAAACCCCAAACAAACAAAAAAGCCAAAGTGGAAATGCCCCAAGGTGGGTGAAAAGATGAATTAAAAAAAAGAAAAATAAAGGAAAGGCTGGGGGTGATGGGGGTGAGGGACAGCTCACGACACCCCGGCCCAGCCCGCGCAGCTGAAAGCCATGACGGGTATAAAAGCAGAGGAAGTCACCCGGGGAGGGGGAGGCCACAGCATAATTCGATTAAAAGGCCATAAAGGCAGAAGGAGCCGAGATTGGGGGTGGGGGGAGGCCCTGCCACCAGCACAACCCCACAGCAGCCCCCAGAGAAGCCCCTTTGGGGGGGATGCTGGGCTGGGGCTGGCTCAACTCTGTGGGGGGAAACTGAGGCACAGGGGATGGGGACTGTTGGGGGTGGTGGGAACCCTGGGGCTGGGGCGTGCAGCAGGGCTGACACCCCAATACCACTGGCACCCCAGTTGGGCTGACACCCCAATGCAGCTGCCCCCACTGCGGACCCCCAGGACGGGTCACCCCACGGCTCACGGTGCCCCTCAGAACCTTCAAGCCCCGTTCCCCTTTTCCACAGGCTGCCGAGTGCCATGGCCGCGAGCCCCCGCTGACATCGCCCCCCACGCCTTGGGGTGCCCCGCTGGCATCGCCCCCCACGCCTCGCGGTGCCCCTGCTGACATCGCCCCCCACACTTCGCGGTGCCCCCGCAGCCATGGGTGACTCCTACGCCGCCGCCTTCCCCAGCGCCCCGGGGCTGCTGTCGCCGTCCGCCAGCCCCCAGGCCTCCCCCGGCCCCTACGGCCCCGACTACGGCCCCTTCGGGCACCCCTTCCCAGCCCCGTCCGGCGCCCAGGAGGTGCTGGGGGCCCCCGTGGTGGTGGCCAAGGGGCACCCCGCGGGCGAGTGCCTGCCGGGGGTGTACCCCTCGCTGGAGATGCCGCACCCCTACGGCTCCTGGTACAAGGGCGGCATCGGCGGGGGGCTGCCGGGGGGCTCCGGGCCCGCGGCCCCGTCCTGGTGGGATGTGCACCCCAACGGGGGCTGGCTGGGGGGGCCGGCGGGCGCCGAGGGGCTGCAGGGCTCGCTGCAGGGCCAGCCCACCCTCAGCCCCCCTCTGCCCACCTACGGCTCCGATTTCGGCGCTCTGAACCCCCCTCCATACACCAACGCCCCCGCGGCGCCCCCCGCCCCTAAACCCGCGCCGGGCGAGACCCCCAAGGGTCCCCGCGGCGGCTCCTTGGGGGGACGCCCGGCGTGCGATTGTCCCAACTGCCAGGAGCTGGAGCGGCTCGGGGGCCCGGCGGGGTCGCGGCGGAAGCCGGTGCACAGCTGCCACATCCCGGGCTGCGGCAAGGTGTACGGCAAAGCGTCGCACCTGAAGGCGCACCTGCGCTGGCACACGGGCGAGCGGCCCTTCGTGTGCAACTGGCTCTTCTGCGGGAAGCGCTTCACCCGCTCCGACGAGCTGGAGCGCCACGTCCGGACCCACACGCGAGAGAAGAAGTTCACCTGCCTGCTGTGCAGCAAGCGCTTCACCCGCTCCGACCACCTCAGCAAGCACCAGAAGACCCACGCCGACCCCCCCAAGCCGCCCCCCGGCGCCGAGCAGCCCCCGGCGTCCCCCCGGCCGCCGCCCGCCTCGCCCGGCAAGGACGGCGGCAGTCCCGAGGCCGGGAGTTTGTTGGAGATTTGAGCCTTTCCGCCTTCATCTTCCTCTTCCTCCTCCTCCGCGCCGCTGGGGATATTTATTACGGGGTGCTGCTCCCCCCAAGCCCCCTCCCCCTCAGTTCCCCAGCTCCTCGTTAGCCATTCTAATTTATGTCTTAAATTATGGGGGGGCTCTCCGAGCGCTCTGGGGTTCACGGGGGGTGTCAAGGTGAGACCCCCCCCTTTCTGTTTTCCCTTCCACCTCCCCCAACCCTTCTTACCCCCAGCCCTCGCCTCGCCCCCCGCACTCAGGGACAGGGTTTGCCCCCCTCCCCCGGCCTGGTTCATCAGTGCTAATGTAACGTGTCCCCCCCACTTTTTTTTAGCTGCCTACCCCTCCTGCCCCCCGGAAAAAAAGCAATAAAAGGATTGAGAGTGGAGCTGGGCCCCCTTCTGCGGCTGAGGCCGGGCAGCTTCATCACAGCAATGTGCTCTGCAGGGCTCCAAGGGAAACTGAGGCACGGAGGGCACACGGGCCTGCTGTGTCCCCTCTCTCTGGGGGTGGCAGGAGCTGTGCGGGGTTGGGGACAAGCTGGGCTGTCCCCTTGTCCTCAGCTCCTGGGGTGCCATGTCCTGTGCCTCTTCCCTTCCTCAGGGTCTTGTCCCCGTGTCCCCAGGACTCTGTTCCCTGTGCTCCCCACAGTCTCCTTGTCCCCACATCCCTCCTCGTGTCCCCAACCTCAGGGACAGCCAAAGCCTGACAGGCTGCGGGGCCTGACAGGACTGTCCCCTGCCAGCCTCATCCTGCCCACGCGTGTCCCCGCTCCAGGGACATTGTGTGCACGGGAACACGCCTGTGCACAGCCCCGTGCCTCAGTTTCCCCCCGGCCACATCCCAGGGCCCACGTGGCAGCACCGGGCACGCGGCGGGGCCACGTGTCCCCGAGGACACCCCAATTTTGGGCGCTGTGGGCTGGCGGGGACCCCACTGCACTCCCCCTCCCCCTGCCCTGGGCTCCCGCCAGCCCTTTGATGCGCTCAGCCCTGGTTTGGGGCTTTTCCTGAAAAAAAAACCCAAAAAGCCACGGAAAAAGGCAACAGGAGGCGGAAACGAGCTCCAGTGCCAGCACGGAGCGGGGGGGCAGTGCTGGCACCCATGGCCCTGCGGGGGGACAGGGACACGGGTGGCAGCAGGTCCCGTGCCAGCCCCGGGTGGGTCACGGTGGCCACGAGCTGGCCAGGACCCAGCTGTCCCCAGGGAGAGGGGGGACACAGGCTGGGGAAACTGAGGCACGGAGGCGGCAATGGAGCGGCCGGAGCTCAGCGCCACCACACAGAGCGCCACAGAGCTGTCCCCAGGGTGGCTCCCGGGGGCATTTGGAGTGGCAGTGCCACCTCTCCATGTCGCCCCCCAGGCCAGCCACACCCTGCCCGACACCAGCTCGCCCGTTTCGGGGTTTCCCCCCAGAACCCCGGCCCCGCTGCCGCTCGCCGTGGGTGGGCCGGTGCCAAGCAGGGCGAGGAGCCACGTCCCCGAGCCAAACCCCGGCCCGGCGGCCACCGAGGGCTCGACCGCCCGGAGCCTCCCAAACCACAGAGCCCAACCCCATCCAGCGACCCCCCCATCCCCACCGGGACCCCCCCCTCCGCCACCTCCGCCTTTTTTCCCGTCTCGCTGCCCCATCAGCCGCGTTTGGGGGGGGTCCGAGGGACGCCGCGAGGCCACGCCAGCCCTGCGGTGGCTCTGATGTCGGCGCCATCCCAAATCGTCGTCTCCTATCGAACCCCGCTCGCTCCGTAACGGGCGAGGAATGTGGGGCCCCCCGCCGCAGCTCCCCCCGCCGCCTTTATTTAATATCCTGAGAAAATTAAAATAACTCTTGCGGCCGCTAAGGAAAACACGGGGATAAACACGAGAAAAGCGGGAGCCCCGGGAGAGGGGCTGGGAGCGAGCCAAGGCGGGGGCACGCGGCGGGAGCGGCACCCGGGGGACGCGGGGAGAACGGACACGGGCACCCGCCAGACGGGACACCGGGGGAGGCGGCACCGGGGACACGGGAGCGCGGGACAGCGGCATGCCGCGGGAGCACAAGAGGGGACCGGGACCGGGGGTGCCCGCGGGACACAGGGGTGCGGGACACGCGGGGTGCCCCGGGGGTGCCCCAGGGTCTCGGTCTCGTTTCCGTTCCCGTTGCCGGTCCCGGTCCCAGCACTGCCCGGCTCGGACACCACGTGACCCGTTTTTCGTGCCCGCCCCTCGCCCCGTCCCTCAAGGGAGGCTCCGCCTCTCTTAAAGGGGTAACGACAGTAAAAAGTGGACCTCATTTTTTATCAGTCCTCGTTACAACCGGAGGGCCACTAAGGCACCGGTGGAGTGCGGCGGTGCAGGAGTCGCCGATATTCTGTCTCCTCCTCGAAGGAAAGTCGGGGAGCGTGGCGTTGTCCCACAGCGAGGTCTGCGCGGATTTCTCACTCGAGCCGCGGCCCTTTTAATTCCCCTCCCACACGCGCCCGGAGCCACGAGGGCGGCGCGCGGCGGCGATTGGCGCGAACGGGGAGCGGGAAGGGGTGAGGGGAGGCAAGATGGCGGCGCCGGGGGCTGAGGGCGGGGAGCGGGTGAGGGGGAGCCGGGGGAAAACCGGGGGGCGCCAGGGGTTGTGAGCGGGTGAGGGAAAACCCGGGGGGCACCGCGGGTTGTGAGGGGCGGAGGGACCGGCGGAAGGGTCGCCGGCTTGGAGCCGGCGCATCCCGAGGGCAGCGGCGGTTTCAGCTGTCGCCCCCCGGGCCGGTCTCGCCGCCAGGCTCGGCGCCGCCATGTGCTCGCTGGGGCTGTTCCCGCCGCCGCCTCCGCCTGGGGATGTCACCCTGTACGAGCTCAACAACGCGCTGGTCTGCGGCCGCCTCAGCGAGCAGCTCCCGCTGGCCTTCCAGAGCCAGGTGAGACCCCGAGCCGGGGGAGCCTCCTGGCTGCCGCCCCCTCCAGCCTGGGGCTGCCACCTTTGTCCCCCTCAGCTGTGGCTGGAGCTCTGTCCCCTCTGCTGGGGTCTCTCCAGGCACCCTCAGGCTGCTCCTTCGCCCCTCCTTGTGTCCCTGCCTTCCTCCCCTCGCCTTTTGCCCGCTGCCCTGGGGGGGTCCCTTTGTGCCCTCAGGCTCGGGGGGCTCATGGGGGTTCAGGGAGCTCAGAGGGTCTCGAGGGGGCTCAGGGGGGGCTCTGTGTGCTGCAGGTTCCCGACCTGCCCGTGCTGAGCCTGCCCAAGGAGCCTCTCAAGGCCCACGGCCGCCTGGAGCCCAGCGCCCGCCCGCCCTTCATCCACCACCGCGAGTCGCTCTGGAAGCGCTGCCTGAGCGCCTGGTGAGTGCCCCGCTGCCCCCAGAGAGCCCGGGCTGTCCCCTGAGAGCCCGGGCTGTCCCCAGAACAGGCCAGGCTGTCCCCAGAGAGCCCCGGCTGTCCCCTGAGAGCCCGGGCTGCCCCCAGAGAGCCCGGGCTGCCCCCAGAGAGCCCGGGCTGCCCCCAGAGAGCCCGGGCTGCCCCCAGAGAGCCCCGCTGTCCCCAGAGAGCCCGGGCTGTCCCCAGAACAGGCCAGGCTGTCCCCAGAGAGCCCAGGCTGCCCCCAGAGAGCCCGGGCTGCCCCCAGAGAGCCCGGGCTGCCCCCAGAGAGCCCCGCTGTCCCCTGAGAGCCCGGGCTGCCCCCAGAGAGCCCCGCTGCCCCCTGAGAGCCCAGGCTGCCCCCAGAGAGCCCGGGCTGCCCCCAGAGAGCCCGGGCTGCCCCCAGAGAGCCCCGCTGTCCCCTGAGAGCCCGGGCTGCCCCCAGAGAGTCCCGCTGTCCCCTGAGAGCCCGGGCTGTCCCCTGAGAGCCCGGGCTGCCCCCAGAGAGCCCGGGCTGTCCCCAGAAGGGGCCGGGCTGTCCCCAGAGAGCCCAGGCTGTCCCCAGAGAGCCCAGGCTGTCCCCAGAGAGCCCAGGCTGTCCCCAGAGAGCCCAGGCTGTCCCCAGAGAGCCCAGGCTGTCCCCAGAACAGGCCGGGCTGGGTGGTGACCGTGCTCTCGCCGCAGGCGCGACGCCGGGCTCTGCGGGCTGCTCAGGGAGCTGGCCGGCGCCGAGGAGGAGGGTGAGTTTGGGCTGCCCGGAGAGCTCGGGTCTCGCTGTGATGCTTTGGCCGGGCCCTGCTGTCCCTGCCCGTGTCCCCTGTGGCTGGCAGGGACGCTGAGGCTGCCTTTGCCCTGTGCCAGGGCTGCGGTGGCTGCGGACGGGCTCGAGCCACGCGCTGGCCGTGTGCCGCTGGCTGTCCTCGCTGCACGGCTCCCTGTTCCCTCACCTGTCCGTGAGTCACTCCCGCCTGGGGCAAGGGGAGCAGCCATTTGGGGTGGGGAGTGGTCCCTTCCCCACTAAAAACCCCCCGAAATGCTCCTCCTGGTGATGCCCAGCTCCAGACACTGCTCCTTCCTCCTCTGGGGGAAAATGGACACTGGGAAGGTGTTTGGTGCTCCAAGAGGGGCCGGAATCCAGGTGGGGGAGAGGGAGAAAGGGCTGGAAGCTGGGGGTCACTGCTGCCAGCTCAGTGTGCTCCTCTCCCTGCAGCTGACCAGTGAGGACATGATTGCAGCCTTCTCCCAGGCCGTGGACTGGTGAGTTCTGGGTGTCCCAAAATCACCGTGCCGGGGTCTGGGACCCTCCTGGGGTGGGAGTACAAGGACAGGATGGCCCCGTTTGGGTGGGCTCAACCATTAAAGGCAAATATTGCCCCACTGGCTCTGGCTGCCCTGGTTTGTGTGTCCTGCTCAGGAAGAGATCAGGGTTAAAGGAGATCAGAGCCTGGAAAATTCCTTCCAATTCCAACCCCAGGCTGTGGTCACCAGCCCCTCATCAGAGCCCTGTGAATAATCCCCAGAAACAGGGAATTTCTCAAAGAAAATGGTCCTGTTGAGCAGCAGAAAGGAAGTTTTATTTCTCAGGGGACTCTGAGAGGGGTCTTTGCCAGCCCAGCGGGTGCTGGGGGGGGTCTCACCCTGCCCTGTGCCCCCTCCAGGGCTGGCTGCACCGTCCGGGCCTTCGCCTGGCACCCTCACACCAACAAATTCGCTGTGGCTCTTCTGGACGATTCCATCCGTGTCTACAACTCCAGCAGGTGGGGCTTTGTCCCGGGGTGGGCGCTGCCCTGGGCCTGCTGCCCACCTGGGCACCCCTGGGCTCCTGTTCAGCCCTCCCTGCTCCTTCCCCGCTCTCCCCTGAGCCTCAAGAGCTTTGTCTGTCCTTTCCCTGCCTGCTCCGTGCCTCTGGGGACATGCTGGGGGTCACAAGCCCTGGGGGAGGTGACAGAGCCGGGGGGACACGGGCTGAGTGTCCTCTGTCCCCCAGGTGTCCCTGCTCCCCCAGGGAGTGCCAGTCCCTGCTCAGGAGAAGACTCTGCCGGCTGCTCCTGCAGCCCCCCCAGGTGTCCCCACGCTGGGACATCTGGCCAACCTGGGCCCTGTCCGGACTGGGGACACCTCGGCTCGGTCACACCAGGTGTGCCCTGGCTCGCTGCGGTGTCACTGGCTGGGAATTCCTGTCCCCCGGGAAGCACACGGCAGGGCACACCCCTCCCCAGCCTGCTGTCCCCCTCACTGTGCTCAGGGCTGGCAGGGGACACTGTGGCTGCGCCAGGGTTCCCACAGCTCCCCCTGTCCCCTGTCCCCTCCCCGGCAGTGCCACCGTGCCCTCGCTGAAGCACCGCCTGCAGAGGAACGTGGCCGCCATGGCCTGGAAGCCGCTCTGTGCCTCCATCCTGGCCGTGGCCTGCCAGAGCTGTGTCCTCGTGTGGCACCTGGACCCCACCTCCCTCTCCACCAGGTGACAGCTCCCACCCTCCCTTCCCGGCCGCTGTCACCCCGCTGGGGTTGGCTTTGGGGCAGCGCCACCGTCCCGCCAGCAAATCCCAAATCTCCCTCTTCCTGTGCAGGCCCTCGTCGGGCTGTGCCCAGGTGCTGTCCTGCCCCGGGCACAGCCCTGTCACCAGCCTGGCCTGGGCGCCCAGCGGGGAGCGGCTGCTCTCGGCGTCACCGGTGGACACGGCCATGCTGGTGAGGACCCTCCTGGGGACACCCCTGGGGTCACCCAGGGACACTCGGGCTGGGCACAGGCACTGCTGCTCTGGGATTTCACCTGGACCTGAAATCTTCACTCTGTTCCCTAATCCCGGTGTCACAGTCGTCCTCCTTGTCCCCTCCAGGTGTGGGACGTGTCCACCGAGACCTGTGTCCAGCTGCAGTGGTTTGGGGGTGGCGGTGTCACCTACTTGGCGTGGTCCCCCGACGGCAGCAAGGTGCTGGCAGCCACCCCCTCGGCCGTGTTCCGGTGAGCTCCTCATCCCCATCCTCTTCCTCGCTCCAGAAAATCCCAAATATTCCCCCTGCTCCTGTTCCTGTTGTGGGGACAGAGTGGGGAGTGGCTGGGGCACGGGCTTGGACATCGTGGATCCCCGGAGCAGCAGGGTCGTCCTCCTTGTCCCCTCCAGGTGTGGGACGTGTCCACCGAGACCTGTGTCCAGCTGCAGTGGTTTGGGGGTGGCGGTGTCACCTACTTGGCGTGGTCCCCCGACGGCAGCAAGGTGCTGGCAGCCACCCCCTCGGCCGTGTTCCGGTGAGCTCCTCATCCCCATCCTCATCCTCGCTCCAGAAAATCCCAAATATTCCCCCTGCTCCTGTTCCTGTTGTGGGGACAGAGTGGGGAGTGGCTTGGACATCACTGGGGCAAATTCCCAGGAGTTCTGCTCCCTGAAGCCCATCTCCTGCAGGGTGTGGGAGGCCCAGATGTGGACCTGTGAGCGCTGGCCCACGATCAGGGGACGCTGCCAGGTAGGATGGGATATTCCCCTCCCAGGCAATTCCCCTCATTTTGGCTGGAAAAGTCTTCTGGGACCACCCAGGCCAACCCCTGCCACATCCACAGGGCTTTTAATCCCTCCAGGAATGGGGTTACTAACCCTGCCCTGGGCAGCCAGCCCAAGAAATTGTGGAAATTTTCCCTAATTGTGTGGAAATCTTCCCAATATCCAACCTGAACCTCTCCTGGCACAGCCTGAGGCCGTGCCCCTCTTGTCCCATTCAGGGACTTGTGGAGTGAAAAGTCCTTCCTGAGCCTCCTTTTCTCCAGTCTGAGACACTCCGGGCAGGGTGGCACTGTCCCACAGCAGGGTGACAGGGTGGCACTGTCCCACAGACAGGGTGACAGGGTGGCACTGTCCCACAGACAGGGTGCTGGAGCCCCGATGGCAGCCGGCTGCTCTTCACCGTGCTGGGTGAATCTGTCATCTACTCCTTGTCCTTCTCCGAGTACCGGGGTGAGTTTGTCCCACCTGGAGCTTCCCAAGGGCAGGGAGAGGGTTGCCAAATGTCCCCACAGCTTTGGGGTGAGGAGCTGGGACACACAGGGGGTGTTTTGGGGTCCCCAAGCACGGAATCTGTGGAATTCAGGTTTTTCCATCCCTCATGTTGCTCCTCGGTCACAGTTGTGGGGTCTTGACAGGATTTCAGGGAGACTCCAGTGGGTCCAGAGCCAGCTTGGGGGTCCTGGTGTTTGCTGTCCCTTGTCCTCCACCTGGGACACCAGCACGGCTGCTCTGAGAAAGAAATAAGTGAGTGATCACCTGGGAAATGCAGTGGGATTGCTGGAGCGTGGATCTCTGCCCTTTCAGGGGAGATGCAGGGGCAGGTGGGAGGCTCCAAGACGGCCTCGATCGTGGCAGACCTGTCCGAGACCACCTTCGAGACCCTCTACGGGGAGGAGAGGTGGGTGTGCCTGGGGACACAGGGGGTCCCTGCTCCTCCTGGCAGCCACCCCTCGCTGCTGGGGACACCCAGGGGGTCTCTGCCCCCCATTTTGGGGACTTGTGCTGTTCCAGGATCGGAGGAGAGGTTCATTCCATGGTGTGGGACCCCACCGGGGAGAGGCTGGCGGTGATCATCAGAGGTCAGTCCTGCCCCCTTCCTGCTTTGGCCTGGGACTCCTGCTGCCCTGGGAGAAGGGGCACGGGGGACAAGGGAGAGCCTTGGTGCTTCTGTGCCCTGCAGGACACCCCGAGTGTGCGGGCAGCCAGCCGGCCGTCGCCGTGTTCCGCACCCGCAACAGCCCCGTCTTCGAGCTCCTGCCCTGGTGCGTGGGGGCTGGGGGGGTTTGGGTTCATGGCAGGGGTTTTGGGTGGGTTTGGGTTCATTGAGATGGGTTTGGGTTCATGGCAGGGGGTTTTGGGTGGGTTTGAGTTCATTGAGGTGGGTTTGGGTTCATGGCAGGGGTTTTGGGTGGGTTTGGGTTCATTTGGATGGGTTTGGGTTCATTGCAGGGGGGTTTGGGTTCACTGCAGCAGATTTGGGATAGGTTTGGGTTTACTGAGTCCCATTAACTCCCAGGATGTGATGGGGGAGCGCTGCCCCTGGTGCTCCTCCAATCCCTGACACTGCTTCACCCTGAAATCTGCTTTGGCCACATTGTCCCCTCCCCACCTCACCCCCTTGGCTTTGGGTTGTCCTTTCCCAGTGCATCCCTTCAGACCCCAAGCACCCCCAGCTCTCTGGGATGTGCTGTTTTCCCTGGGACCCCCAGCACCCCCAGCTCTCTGGGATGTGCCGTTTCCAGGCCCTAACCGTGGCTGTTCCCCCTCCCCACAGCGGCTTCGTGCGGGGTGAGCGCGGTGCCCAGCCCCAGCTCATCTCCTTCCACCCCTGCTTCCCTCAGGGCGCCCTCCTGACCGTGGTGAGTCCCTCCCCGGGGCATTCCCAGTCCCGGGGGACACTGGTGGCACTGGGAGGGGGCTGGGATCAGGGTGAGCCAGGGAGAGGTTTAACCAGACCAAGGGTTGGGTCCTGTGTTTTGGGGACAGTGGCCAGGCAGGAAGGGACCTGGAGGGACTGAGGAGCAGTGCTGGACATGAGCCAGGTGTGCCCAGGTGGCCAAAAAGTCTGGTGGGATCCTGGCCTGGCTCAGGGGTGGCGTGGCCAGCAGGAGCAGGGGGTTGTTTCTCCCCCACACCTTGAATGCTGTGTCCAGGTCTGGACCCCCCAGTTCAGGAAAGATTTTGGCATCTGGGGCATGTCCAGAAAAGGGAACAGAGCTGGGGAAGGGTCTGGAGCTCTGGGGGGGTGGGGGAGGTGGGGAAGGGGCTCAGCCTGAAGACGAAGAGGCTCAGGGGGAACCTCATCCTCCCTGACAGGAGGGGCAGCCAGGTGAGGTCTCTGCTCCCAGTGACAGGACCAGGGGACACAGCCAGGGGAGCTTTGGGTGGACTTCAGGAATTTCTTCCCAGAAAGGGTGACTGGACGTTGGAGTGGGCTGGGGAGCTGAACATCCCTGGGGTGTTGAGGCAGAGCCTGGGCAGGGGGCTCGGTGACAAAGCCCGGGTGACAGGGTGCTGTCAGGGGCTGCACTCCATCCCAGTTCGGTGCCCTCTGGACACTCAGCCCTGCCCCTCCCTGTGCCCTGCAGTGCTGGTCCTCGGGGAGGATCTCCCACATCCCCTTCTTCTTCGTCAGCGCCCTGGAGCCCCGCGGCAGCCCCCGCCGCAGCCCCGCGCCCGTGCTGGGCAGCGTCCGCGAGCAGCCGCTCTTCTCCGAGCTCTGAGACCCCCCCGGGGCCCCCTCGGACACCCCAGGGCCTCCTCTCCCTCCGGGAGCCCCCCCACCTGCTCAGGGTCTGCCAGTGCTGATCCTGCCCCGATTAAAGGTGGATTTTCCTTCCCTCTCGTCTTCTTTCCTCACCCCGATGGGAGTGGAGATTTCTGGGGGTGAATTTGGGAAGTCCTGTGGGTCGGGGGGGTTCTGGGGGCTCCAGAGTTGGTTTTTGGGGTCAGAAAGAATGTGATCCCAGTGCAGCCCATGGGTCAGGGCTGCTCTTTTGGGATCAAAGAGCCCTGTTTTGGGGATGGGTGATGGCTGAAGGAGTTCTGGGGGGTTTTTGGCACACACCAACCCCCAGGCTTTGTCTTGAGGGTGAGCAAAAGCGAACCAAAACCCCCAAATGGAACCAAACCCTCTGAGGGTCCCCAAACCCCAGCCCTGGGGGCCCCAGGGTGCTTGTGCTGATCCAGGTGAACCCCCCCCAGCCCCGCAGGTGGGGGCAGCAGCTGGGCCCCCCCAGAGGGGGATGAACGCTGCTGCTGGGGGTGGCACAGTGAAATCCCAGGATTATGCACCCTTAATCCCAGGATTACACTCCCCCAATCCCAGGATTACGCTGTGCTGGCAGGGAGGACAGGGAGTGCACAGGGTCCCTGCTCCCCCCACCCAACAGCCTCAGGACCCCCAAAATCCTCCCCAGAGCAAGGGGGAGACCCCCCCCCTTCCCCCCCACAGCATCCAGCCCCTTCCCGAGGCTCGGCAGGAGGATCCAGGGGGGTCCAGGGGTGACCCGGGCTCCAAACCCACCGCAGCTGCTGGGGCCGGCCGGGGGGGGCTTCACCCCTCGGGCCTGCCCGGTTGGCTCCCGGTGCCGCGGCTGAGCGGCTCCTTCTCCTCCCGCTGCTGCTCCCGGTGTGGCAGCGCCCGCGCCCCGCAGGGCAGCGCCCGCAGGTACCGCAGCTGCAGCCGCGTCTCCTCCCGGCTCCGCCGCACGGAGCGGCGCACGCAGAGCAGCACCAAGCCCAGCCACCCCGCCACGGCCACCAGCGCCGCCACGTCCGGGACCCGCGCTGTCCCCGCGCCCCTCCCCAGCGTCTCGTTGTGGCCGCTGGGTGGGACCGGCGCCGGTGGAGCCCCCCCGGGGCAGCGGGAACCCCCCCGGGGGTGCTGGGGCAGCGCCAGCAGCAGCAGCACGAGCAGCCCGGCCGCCCGCATGGCCCCGAAGGAGCGGAGGGAGGGGACACCGTGACCCCCCCGCGTGCTGGTGACACGCAGTGCCACCGGGGGGGGGCACGGGTTGCTGTCCCCGTGCTGGAGGGGGGGTCACGGCTGTCCCTGAGTCACAGCAACCCCCGAGTGGCACACGCAGCACCCCCCGGGACCCCCGAGCCCCCTCGACAGCGAATCCACTGGGCACACACTGGTTTTTACTGGTGCAGGGACATGACAGGAACGGGGTCGAACTCCCAGGAAATGGAGCCAAAAAGTCTCTGGCTGGGCTGGCACCCGTCCAGCACGGGGAGTGGGTGCTCTGAGACCCCCGGGAGGGGCTGCTGCCCCCCAGCACAGCAGATCCCTCAGAGAATCCAGGATCCAAGCAGGAACGGTCCCTGCACATCCCTGGCACCCCACACTGGCCCGGGGCTCCCTTTTGGGGTGACCCCGCTGGGGAGGGGGCTCACGAGCTCTCTGTGGCCCCCCCGAGCTCCAGCGCCCTCCGGGCCATCTCCAGGGCCCCCTCCCGGGTCCGGTTGCCCCCGATGAAGCCGCTGGCGTGGACGAAGATGCAGCCGGGGATTCCGGCCAGCTCGGAGAGCTCCTCGTCCCGGAGCCCCCGCCAGGCCTCGGGCAGGGGGAGCCTGGGGGGGACACGGGGCTTGAGAGTGACCCCGGCCCCGCGGGGGGGCGCGGGCAGGGCCAGGGGAGGGGTCTCACCGGCTCTGGAAGCTGTGGGGGGCTGTGGGGACGCTCTGCACCCGCCACTGCCCGCCCCGGTCCGGGAACAGCACGAGCAGCAGCGGCCGGGGCAGGGCCAGCTCCTGCTCCAGCTGGAACAGGTGCTCCTTCCAGGGACAGCCGCCCTGCGACAGCTCCAGGACCTGCCCGCTGGCGTCCACCTGCGGGGGGGACACGCTGGGGACACGCTGGGGACACGGGGGTGGCTCCCGAAACCACCCTGGGCTCCGTGCCCCGAAACCTCCGAGTCCCTCCCACAGGGCTGCCGGATATGGGGTGCAGAGCCCCCCCGGGAGGTTTCTACCGAAGGGATCTGAGCTCCCCACGCCCCGGTTCCCCCCCAGAATTCCAGATCACCTGGAGGCGACGCCGCACGGCCTCTTCCACCAGCGCCCGCGCGGGCAGCCAGGCGCGGTGGTAGAAATCCAGGCGCTGCAGGAACTCGCTGCCCACCAGCTCCATGGCCCTCCTGAACCCCGCCTGGGGACACGGGGGGCAGCAGGGGGTCAGCAGCGTCCCCAGGCAGGGTGTCTCCGAGCAGGGTGTCCCCAGGGCTGTCCCCACCTCGGTGTCCTGGTCGGGGTCGTTCCAGCGGGGGTTCAGGTGCCCCACGCGGGCGCTCAGGGTGGTGCTCAGGGCGTAGCGCGGCTCCCCCGCCGCCGGCGCGATCCCGTTGTCCATGGCATCGATCTCCTCCACGAAGTTCTCGTACAGCTGGGCACGGTGGGGACAGAGCAGCAGTGAGGGGACAGCGGAGCAGAGCCTGGCTGGAAGCACAGCTGCCACAAACCGGTCTCCCCTTTGTCCACCGAGGGCAGAACCGTCACCGTGGCAGGGTGACAGACCCCCTGCCGCCCCTGTCACCTTGTCGTAGAGCGCTGTGACCACGGGCCCGTCCTCGGGCTGCCCCAGGAGCTCCCCCAGGATCTGCGCCCCGAAGTGGCAATAGACGAGCCCGGCGCTGCTCAGCTTCGTGCTCCAGGGCTTGTCCGGCCGCAGGCTCCGCATGGACTCCGTGAAGGACCTGCGGGGCCACGCGGTCACCCCGGGCACCGCCGGGGACGCCGCTGTCCCCAGGGGGGTCTCACCTCTGGTGGTGGTCGTAGCAGTGCCGCCCCGGGTCGTACTCGCCCCCCACGTCCACGACAACGTCACAGCCGGCCAGGCGCTGCGGGTCCCGCGTCCGCACGATCTCCGCGTCCTGCAGGGGACACCGCGGTCAGGGACACCGGGGACCCACGGGAGCGGCTCCGGGTGACGAGGGACACCGGGGAGGGACCCTGAGAAGGGGGTGGGGGAGATAAGGGTGACCCCCAGCTGGCACCGGGGGCCCCAAGGAAGGACTGGGGACACAAGGGTGACTCTCAGGTGGCATCGGGGACAGCACAGGGACCCCCAGGTGGGACCGGGGACCCCGAGAAAGGACTGGGGACACAAGGGTGGCCCCCAGGTGGCACCGGCGACAGAAGAGCGGCCGCTGGGTGGGCTCAAGTGTCCCCACATGGGACCGCGAGAGGAGCGACCCGGAGGAAGACCCCGGGACCCGGCACCGCACGGTGCCCCCGTCCCGTTCATGCCCCGTTCATGCCCCGAGCCGGGCGCGCTGCCGATGCCGCCGCAGGCGGGGCCGTACCCGGTAGCGGGGCAGGAGGCGCAGCAAGAAACACGCCAGCGCCTCGTCGCAGTGGAAGGTGCCGTCGTGGGTGCCGATGCGGGCGGCGGGCTCGGGGTGCGGCCGCTTGTTCCCGGTGCCGGTGCCGGTGGCGGCCATGACCACGAGCCGGGCGGCGCGCGCGGCACCGCGCATGGCGGCGGGGAGGCCACGCCCCCAGAGGGGCCACGCCCCCTCATCGTAAGCGCTTCCCGCCAAATTTGTCCCGCGCTTGCCCAGGATCGGCCCCGCCCCCTAGAGTGCGCACGCGCACTGGGCGGGATCAAGGCGCCAGTTCGGTGTGGCGGGTGCCCTCTGGCGGCCGGGACTGGGAACACGCGGGGCGGGATCGGGACAGAGGGACAGGGACACACGGACACCGCCGGGACTGACAGACACGGTCCTGCCCAGCCCCGGGGACACAGGGATGGACACACAGGGAGGGATGGACACACGGACACCGCCGGGACTGACAGACACGGTCCTGCCCAGCCCCGGGGACACAGGGATGGACACACAGGGAGGGATGGACACACGGACACCGCCGGGACTGACAGACACGGTCCTGTCCAGCCCCGGGGACACAGGGATGGATGGACACACGGACACTGCCGGGACTGACAGACACGGTCCTGCCCAGCCCCCGGGACACAGGGATGGATGCACACACAGGGAGGGATGGACACACGGACACCGCCGGGACTGACAGACACGGTCCTGCCCAGCCCCGGGGACACAGGGATGGATGGACACAGGGATGGATGGACACACGGACACTGCCGGGACTGACAGACACGGTCCTGCCCAGCCCCGGGGACGCAGGGATGGACACTCAGGGAGGGATGGACACACGGACACGGGCGGGACTGACAGACACGGTCCTGCCCAGCCCCGGGGACGCAGGGATGGACACTCAGGGAGGGATGGACACACGGACACGGGCGGGACTGACAGACACGGTCCTGCCCAGCCCCGGGGACGCAGGGATGGACACTCAGGGAGGGATGGACACACGGACACGGGCGGGACTGACAGACACGGTCCTGCCCAGCCCCGGGGACGCAGGGATGGACACTCAGGGAGGGATGGACACACGGACACGGGCGGGACTGACAGACACGGTCCTGCCCAGCCCCGGGGGCACAGGGATGGACACACAGGGAGGGATGGACACACGAGCCTGGCGCTGAGTTGATTTGCCCAAGCAGGAGTTTATTGGCCCGAGCCGGGGAGCCTCCGGACGCTGCGGACTCTCTGACCATTGCTCACGGCCCAGGGGGCTGTGATGGCTCTTCCCAGGGGTCTGGAGCCCCCCAGCTCCCAAATCCCCCTTCCCAGGGCTTGCTCCGGCCTGGAGCCGCCTCCAGACCATGGCAGGGGGAGGAAGCCAAGCTGGAGCTGGGGTCCCTGCCTCATCCCAGAAGTCATCACCCCATCCCGCAGAGGGGTCCAGCTCCAAAGTGGGGGTGTCTCCTGGAGCTGCCCCTGCTCCCCCATTCCCAGGGAGTGCAAA